GTGTGTATTTTCTATTTTCCCCCATCTGGCATCTGCTTTAGCACCAGCCTAGCTAGCTGTTCTGTGTCAAGAGGGCTTTAGCCTTTTCACTATGAGAGAGAAAGAAATGAAATAATAAAAAAAAGAAAATTCTTCCACCATCTCCCCCCCTCACTTTTTGTTTAGTTGTTTCTAAGCAAGTTTCTTGCCATTTACCTTTGCATTTGCATTGCTTATTGATTGGCAATTTTAAAATTGTTTATTGTGCTCTTTTGTTTGACTGTTCAAGAGCTAAAACAAAAGCTAGCAGGCCCTGTGAGGTACACATTTGCATGCGGTGAGCGTTACCCGAGGAAAAGTAATTGCTAATGCATATTTATGTGGCACAAATTTGCCATTTGTTTATGCATAAAATTATCAATAGTGCAGGGCGGCCCAGCCGTAGAAAATGGTGACCTTTTTAGCTTAATAAATAGAAATCAGCTGTTATTGTGAAGAGATCAGCCATTTATTCTGTGTTGAGGGACATTGCCGGGAAAATGCAGATTGGGGTTGGCAATATCATTAAATGGAAGGCCAATGACCCTTTCGGTAGAGTCTATTATACTTTATCTAATAGGGGATAAATGACTCTGGTTGGCAAATGGAATAAAGAACAACAGTTTTTCTTTTTTGTTTTGTAGTTTTAATAACTCTACGGATTTTAAGCCATAAAACTGAACAAGCAACATCATACTGACCTGTTGCTAGAGTTCTCACAGAAAAATCTGTTTTAAAGTTGCTTTCCCTTATTCATTACAGTCTGTACCCATTGAAACAAAAAGTGAGTCAAATGATATTTTTTTCCAGGAAAATAGGTCTTCCTTTAGTCTATAGCTTTCTTTTTCTTTTTCTTCTTTTTTAGCCATACTTTTATCTTTCCATTGCAGGTATTTTTGCATTTTACAGTGTTGCTCTACATTTGATATCTTAAAAATATTAGAGATAGAAGATACTCTCAGAATGAAGTTAGGAATAGATTGTAAACTGAAGTTTCCTTTTTAAAACTAAGCATAATACTTTCAAAGTGATAAGAATGGCCTCTGAGGTAAGTATGTGGGTCCTTTGGATTAATAAAAATATTATATAAATATCAAACCTTCTCATCAGCATATTTTCTTTCTTTTCTTTTCTTTTCTTTTTTGGCTGCACTGTGCAGCTTGCCGGGATCTTAGTTCTCTGACCAGGGATTGAATCCCGGGCCACAGCAGTGAAAGCGCTGAGTCGTAACCACTGGACCACCAGGGAATTCTCAGCGTATTTTCTTAATATGCAAAAAACCGACAGATAGTCCATTGTATCTTTTTTGGTTGTTTCACTGAGATGAAGTGCCCTCAGTCTCCTCAGAGCTCGCCTGTGACTATGGTTTAATGTGGTGTGATCTCATACTACATTAATTTGGCTAGTGTTTCTTTGGTATGCTAGTGAGCGTTTCTGTCTTTTAGGGTTTTTTATTGAGCTTCTTCAATCATTATAGAATTCACTATTAAGTGGAAGTTGTGTTTGTTTTTTCAATATTGTAAGGTAATATTTGATGCACTGAAAATTTTATGTAAGTTATGAAATAAGATAATAAAACAGAGACATGTAAATCCACGCTCAGAACATGGCAAAGCTATTGGAAGCTACCTGCATGCTCCTTTCTGATTGTGTATCTTAACAGGAGTGCACTGCAACAGGTTTAAAGTTTCTGCAATGGTGGATTTGCAGCCACCAGTCTTTCCCTCATGCTGCACTTGACTACAACAGTGCATTCTGCAGCATGTCACCAGGGTGACTGAGTAACATTTTACTGGCAGAAATGGGTCTGTTGTTCCTTTTTAAAGTAGAGGGTGTAAATAGGATTCAGACAGTAGGGTACATTAGTCCAAAAAATGAATATATTTTTTGTGTCATTTATAAGGTATTGATTTTAGGTCCATTAGATTCACAGTCCCTAGTGGTAGAAAAAACAATGATTTAATGGGTAGGTTGGAATTCCAGAAGGAAGAGCAGCAGTGATTAACCCCTTCTTCCTCAGCTCCCTGCCCCAGTTATATAATATTGTCAAGAAGCTAAGGACTCTGGGGGAAAGGGACAATTTATCATCTGTCTTCCCTGCACTTTACAAGGAATCACAAAACAAATTTCAGCTGGATTATTACTATGTCTCTGAATGTGATAGAACATTTCAACCTCCGTTGATAAGATATGCCAAAATTATTTTTATAAGGTAGTTTTTAACTTGATGAATACAGTTTATTTTTACAAAACCCAGAGCATATTTATTTAGAGAGTCTTCGTAATTTAAGATACTGTTTAGGCGATGTGAAGGAATAAAGCTTAGATTTCTTTGTTTAAATAAAAAGATCTTTTTCTCAACTCTAACAAAGGAAAGATCATACTGGTGTCATGTCAGTTATACCCTTTCTTAGACAAGTCTTAGGTAATATTAGTGAGAATGGCCACTATAAGTTTTAAAGTAGGGTGTTTCCTATTCCATAAATACATGGAAAATTATTGGTGTATATAAACCTCTTTTCTGAGAAGAAGATGACCAAGATATCATTTCATTTCTATACTATTCAATTTGGATGTAGAGCACTCATAATAATTCCAGTCAGTTTCATCCAACTAATGTTACTACCACCTGAAAGAATTTCCTCTTAGGCTGCTTTGGCAGTTACCTCTTCATTATTGTATCCAAAAACACCCTAATTACAATATAGGTATGAAATTTTTGAAAATTCCAACTATCATTCCAATCTTCTGACATACTGTTATGTTATGATTGAAGAAAAATATGCCAACTGAAATCTGATTGGCTTAAAACTTGACCTGACATAAAGATTATGGTATCAACAAACACTTTTTAGTATTTCATATTTTAATTCAAGTATTTCAAGTTCTGTGACAAAAATATAAAAATACAGGCTCCCTCTTGTGGGTAAAATTACCACCTGTGTTGCCTACATATAGGATATGGCGAATTTTTTCTGTTTCATTTTAAGTAAATTCTACCATGGTAGTCTCTTTACAGTTGGTCAGATGTGACATTTCACTTCATTGAAAAAAGTGAAGTTTGGGGTACTTTTTAGTAAAAATTTTAAATGATAATAAACAAGTTTTTTAAAGAATTGTCAGACCATGTGCAGACAACCTTTATTTTATTGCAGCAGCATAATTTCTTTTTTTTTAACTTTTAATTTTATATTGGAGCATAGTTGATTAACAGTGTTGTGATAGTTTCAGGTGCACAGCAAAATGATTCAGTTATACATATAAGGTATCTATTCTTTTTCAAATTCTTTTCCCATTTAGGTTGTTACATAATATTGAGCAGAGTTCCCTGTGTTATACAGTAGGTCCCTGTTTGTTATCCATTTTATTTTATTTTATTTTTTTTGCGGTACGCGGGCCTCTCACTGCTGTGGCATCTCCTGCTGCGGAGCACAGGCTCCGAACGCGCAGGCTCAGAGGCCATGGCTCACGGGCCCAGCCGCTCCACGGCATGTGCGATCTTCCCGGACCGGGGCACGAACCCGTGTCCCCTGCATCGGCAGGCGGACTCTCAACCACTGCGCCACCAGGGAAGCCCCTGGTTATCCATTTTAGATATAGCAGTGTGTACCTGTCAGTCCCAAACTCCCTATCTCTTCCCCCCATCCTCCCCCGCTCCCTGTAACCATAAGTTGGTTCTCTAAGTCTGTGAGTCTGTTTCAGTTTTGTAAATAAGTTCATGTGTATCATTTCTTTTTAGATTCCTCATATAAGTGATATCATACGATATTTCTCTTTCTCTGTCTGACTTACTTCACTCAGTGTGACAATCTTTAGGTCCATCCATATTGCTGCAAATGGCTTTATTTCATTCTTTTTAATGGCTGAGTAATATTCCATTGTATATATGTACCATATCTTCTTTATTGATTCCTCTGTTGATGGACATTTAGGTTGCTTCCATGTCCTGGCTACTATAAACGGGCAGTGGCATAAATTTCTGATGTTGAAAATTTGTAATAACTTTTCTCATTTTGAAGTACTTTCCAATGGAGTAATTAGTGAATTGTTGAAATAATGTGGCATCTTCTCTGTCAATGTGGTGACTTTTAGGTTTCTGTGCTTATTAACAAAAGATCTGATATTGGAATGAAGTGAAATTCCCCCTACCAATCATGGTACAGGTGGATAACAATATGGTACTAAAACTACCCTAATACCATAAACCTTGTGACCAAAATGGTGAAATATCAATGGCATAATAAGAATGAAACTGAAGAATTACTCAATTCTTCATAAATTGAACTGATTGTGAAGAGACTGAGCTGGCAACAATGCTTTGGCTGCCACCATGTACTGATTCCCTGCTTTCAAAAGTCTGATTCTTGGGAATTTCAACTGATTGCCAGTGGCCATTTTTGTCCAGCCTAAGGAACTGTTAACAAAGCCAGAGTTCTATTCACTCCTGAAAGTGTCTAGAACAATAGTTTTGAAGCTGGGCTGGGAGATATATAGAGATATATAGCAAGGAATGTCAATGTAGAGATAGTTGGATGACTCCCACTAAACAGTTACTGTGTTGATCGTTGCTGTCATACATTTGAATGGAATCAAGGAAAGGGCTATGAGGACACCTGAAAATCTTTCATAACTCATTCCAAGAAAGAAGAATTTACCTTAATGTTGCCTGTCCTAAAGTGTATTCAAGGTTGTTTATATCAAAATTATACAAAATGAACAACTTATGTGGTGATTAACAAATATGTATGTATGCATATAAGATAACATATATATATGTTTTTAGATTAATTCTGGTGGTATTATAATGTCAGAATAATGCCTTTTTTCAAGAAATAATAACTTTATTATATCTATATAAATTTATATGTATATAAATTTATTTTGAAAACCATAGACATCTCCTGTTTCCCAAGAGCCATATCTTTATATATTTACTAAAAAGGAACAATACACTGTTAATGGTCTACTTTTATTTTTTCTAGATTCCTCTTGCTGATGACACAAGTCCTGTTTGAATCTACTTATAAGATTCTGAAGCCTGAACAGAGAATTTTGGCACTGCACTGGGTAGGAAAAAGATATATTCATAAAACACGTGATACACACCTTTGAAAAGATTGATTACTTTAAAAATGGAAGTTTATGTGCCTTCTCTTATTTTCAACTTATAAGTAAAGTATATGACATATGCATATAAAGCTATAATACATAGTCTTTTATGTTCAGATGACAACTGTATTTGTAATTATAATTCTCAACCTCATTATGAAGGTAATGTTTCTAAACTGGCAGATGAAAGCAACATTTCTTTTCTTTTCATTTCCTTAATGAGATACACATTTCTTAAAGTTGCAGAAGCTTTTTTTCTTCATTGAAAAATGTTTTTTTAAAAACATTTGTTGCTACTTTTCTATTATTGCTGAACAAGAAATATTCTGGGTCACAATGAGTAGGTCACACATTTTATAAAAATTTCCATGGGCTATTCAGTATTTCAGGGTATGTTTTTGTAAACACATACAAAAATACAATTTTGCTGAGGCCAAACAGATATTTTCCCAATTTGCTTGGCAGAAAAATTTAGTGGGCATCTATCTGTGTGTGCATTTGTGAAATGCCTGTAAAAGTTATACTCTTGGGACCGGGAACAAAGTTTGATCACAGACCTAAAGTTGAAAATCCTTTTATCGTCCCGTGACTGTCATGTGGGTGAGAGCAGAAAAGGTTGAAGGAAAGGGATCCTATTGTTCAGAGGTTCGTCACTAGTAAAATGAAAAACGAATTATCTTTCTGTTTAGTCCTAAAGAGAATAGTGAAATAGTGGTATTCTTGCAGAGTAAACTAACATTTATTTATTTACTAATCCATTCTAAAAGTCATATGACTTACGCTTCTAGAACTTCAAGATACAAGTTTATTTGTGAAAACCCTTAGGTTCAGTGGTAGTTTTTATCGTCTTTAAAGACAGAATTGTTTTTAAATCCTAAAAAAAATTTTAAAAATATTTATAAATAAGACTTTATATATTCACAGATGAATGAATCAAAGTAATATGGAAGAACGCATTGTAATGGTTTTTAATGATAACAGAACTGGAATAAGTCACGAATTATTGCAAATAGAAACTTTTATAGTTTTACAAGTAAAAGCACAAGTATAAATAAAATTAAAAGGCAAATGGAAAACTGGGACTACTTCTTACAAATACAGCAAACATCACATGTATAGCTGTTATTATAAGAAAGGCACTAACATTTTAATTTAAAAGATAACAAGATATAAGAACAAATAATTAATAAAGCATGCAATTCTAATGCAAAATGCTAGTAAAAGAAATGCAAAGTTATGCTCCACTTAACGATCTAACTAGTAAAAAGTAGCTTCGAATAATAATGTTGTAACAAGAATGAGGGGAGTTGGGTGTTTTCAGTAATGTTGGAAATAAATTATATTTATTCAACCATAAAGTGATTTGACCATCTCTGTTAAGAGCCTTAAATGTTTCCAAGGCATTCTATGCAACATTTTCACTCTATTAGTTTGGAAAAGGTTTGGTTGCAAGCAATCCAAATTGTTTTAAAAAGGTAGAACTTTATATTTTCTTATGTGAAGTCTCTGTAGGCAGTTAAGAGCTGATTGGGTGGTTCCACAGTCAATAGGGACCCAGAACTTTCATCTTTGGCTCTGTTTCTCTGAACATGTGACTCTTACCTAGTGTTTTGGAATATCCAGTATTGGTATTCCAGCAATCATGTCCGTATTCTAGCAAGAGGAAGGAAATATTTCTAGAAGATTCATGCTCTCTCCCTTTAAGGACATCTTTTGAAAAGTGTCCATACCCCTTCCACTTACATTCCATTGGCTAGAACATAGTTTCATGACCATGCCACACTTAAAAAGAGCTTGGAAGATGTAGCTTTTATTCTGGAAGATAAATTTGGGGGAGTTATTATTGTGGAAGAATAAGAGACTAGATATTAGGGCTTAACTAACATTATCTGGCAATTTCATTCCAAGAATCTAACTTAATGAAATAATTAAAGGAGACAAAATTTATGTAAATATGATCATTTTCATATGTTTATAATCAGAATAATTTGAGATTGACTAAATTGTTCAGCAATAAAGCAATAGTTGGATAAATCTGAATATATTAATCTTATACAGTCAATAAAATATTTAAAAATTTTTTGAAAGACATGAAATTATGCATGATGCAATGTTAAATGAAACAAGTCAGAATCCACACTAAAGATACAGTGTATCTCCAAATGTGTGTGTGTACACACATATATGTATGCACACACACATATTCAAGTGGACATATATATTACAAATACATAAAAAGTTAGCAGAAAAAATAGCTGAAAGTAAATACATTAAATATTATTAGCTCTGGATTATGGAATCATGAGCAACTTTAATTTTCTTTACAGTTTACACATTTTTTAACAAGTATAACTTAGTACTAAAATTATAGAAATGTAAAAAGTATGGGATTCACATGGGGGGGAAGGGTAAGCTGGGAAGAAGTGAGAGATTGGCATGGACTTATATATACTACCAAATGTAAAATAGATAGCTAGTGCAAAGCAGCCGCATAGCACAGGGAGATCAGCTCGGTGCTTTGTGACCACCTAGAGGGGTGGGATAGGGAGGGTGGGAGGAAGGTGCAAGAGGGAGGGGATATGGGGATATATGTATATGTATAGCTGATTCACTTTGTTATAAAGCAGAAACTAACACACCATTTATACTCCAATAAAGATGTAAAAAAAAAAAAAAAGTACAGAATTCCAAAAGGTTACATAAGTTGCTTAGTGCCTCTGTTTAAAATACTATATGTGTGTCTATTCAAGAAGAGATGAAATAGCTTATCACTCATCCTTTCTGACTGCTTTTTCTGAAGTCAGGTTGCAGTAAGCTTTCCTTCTCAGTAGAGCCATACAGCCACTCAGAAATCTTGATCATATTGCATCCTGGCTACCTTTTTAGGTTAGGGCAGATTGAGATACAGTTCGGTGGCATTTGACAAGCATGTGAATGTTGCTGTTAATCATGCAGATTTCAAAGGCAAAGAGCAAAACTTTGAAGACTTCTTCCTTGTGTATAAGTGAAAGAGGTTGAGTGCTGCAGTTCTGGATTAAGAATGTTTTCTTTCTATTTTGAAAGGATTTTTTACAGTATTTTGTTGCCTTAGAATATTAAAGGAGTGAGAATTTATCTCGGAGCTAAGTGAAAAGTCACAATTAGATAGCAATCTATGAGAAATTCTTGGCAGAAATTAGAATGAGAGTGTTTTTTCCCTCTGAACCTAAGCTGACCTCACTCTTTGGAACTTGTAAGGGAAGCATAATGTTGAAAGGCATCAACTTTGGAGACACACTGTTTAGGTCAATTTCTGACTCGACCATTTAGGACTATCTACTGTTGGGTACATCTCTTAACCACTGATTCTGCACATGTAAAATGTAAATAATGATGGAAAATAGTTGGATAAATTGTATTATGCAAATACCACATGGACACTGGTGTTAACTACACTGAGTAAACAAAATAGACTTTAAAGCCCAAACCATTACTGGAGATAAAGTTACTTTAAAACTGATTGAATTTTCAATTCAATAGGCAGATAGAATAATACTAAGTCTAAATGTCCCTAATAACATAACTGCAAAATAGATGAAGGAAAATTTGACAGACTAGCAAGGAGAAATAAACGATCCACAATGGCAGTGAAATTAACTTAATAATTAATGGAATAAAATAGAAAAGAATCAGTAAAGGAGGGTAGAGTTGAAAGATAAGATTAAGAAACTTGACCTGTAGATATATATAAAAACTTTGCATACAACTGCAAAATTCACATTATTTTGAAGAACACTGGGAACAGTTACAAAAATTCACCATATCCTGAGTCATAAATTAGGTCTCAACTAATTTCAAAGAATTTGAATCATAGCAGTGAAATTAAGCTGCCAATGAATAACAGAAGTATGGCTAGAAAAAAGTTTCAAAATTAAAAAGAAATCACAGTAGTAATTATAAATATTTTAGATTAAATAAAAATGAACATCTTACGTATAACAATTATAGAATACCTATAAGAAGCATTTGCTGGGAAAGTTATACCTTAAATGTATTAGAGAAAAGAAAGAGTGAAAATTAATAAGCCAAGAGTTTATTTCAAAAACAACAAGATAAACTCAAAGTAGTCAAAGGGAGAAACGAATTAAAGTGCAAAATTAATGAAGTGAGAAACAAACGTATGAAGAAGAGAAGCAAGAAAGCCAAAAATTGTTGCAAAAGATGAGGAAATTTTCCAATCCTCTGATGAGACTGAACAAGAAAGTAAGTGACAAGAGGCAAATAACCAATATCAGAAATGACAAAGTGACATCACAACAGATGTGCAGATGTTAAATAGCTAATAATGAGTATCATGAACTTTACATTACCAAGTTTATGTTGGGAAATATGAAGAGTTAGATCAATGGTCAGATTCCTAGAAAAATATGTCAGTGGTCAAAATATTCCTAAAAAATATATAACTTAGCAGTATTTACTCAAAAAGAAATAGGAAACCTGAATAGTTCTATCAACATTACGGAAATTTAGTTTGGTAATCAAAAATTTTCCTACAAAAAATTTCCAGACCCAGATGGCTTCACAGGCAAATTTAAGGAAGACATAAGTCTAATCCTATGTAAGTTTTTTTTTTTTTTCAAAAAATAGAAGAGGTAATAGTCCCCAACTTATTTTATAAGGATCATATAATCTTGATACCAAACTTGGCAAGAATAGTATGAAAAAGCATATTCACAGGCAAATTCCTCTTATGAATATAAATGGAAAAACTGTCAACCAAATATTAGCAAACTGATTTCAGCAATATATAAAAAGGATCATTAATCATGAGCAAGTTTGTTTACTCCAGAAAATCAAGGTTTGCTGACATGTAAATAAACAGCCAATGTAATACAGATTAAAAGAAGGTATCACATGATTATTTCAGTTAATGCAGAAAAGGATTTAATAAAATGTATCATTTATTCCTTATTTTTTAA